AAAAAAAAAAAAAAAAAGAGTGTCATTTACTTTGTTGTGCTTCAACTAAAACAGGTGTCACCCTGCATGGCACTGTGCTGGTTCTCCTAGAACTGGTGTCTGTGATACCACTGTGTGTTAGAGCCTGCCTGGTGATCCAGGGAGGGGTGGAAGCCAGCTGGGCTCCCTGCTTTCCTAAAAGTCAGGTGCAGGGAAGTAAGAACAGTGAGCAGAAACCACAGGACCTCCCTTCTGTGCCCTGTCACTTGGAGCTGTGACTCTGACCTATGTCTATCTATCTATTCATCTCTTCTGTGTCCCAATGACAGGCTTGTGAAAATAGGTAGGGTGGGTCCTTCTCATGCATGTTGAGATGATCTATTTCAGAATGATAAGGCCCATCCATGGTAAATGTTGCTGTTTTCTTTACTTGGAAATTAACATAGTTTTTTTTAGTTGAAAATGGTGAAAAAGTCAGTTTATCTGTTTGCAACTGCAAGATAAAATTTAGTTTTGTATTATCTGGAAAGGATTTTTTCCTTTACATCAAAGCAAGGTCAGTCAGTGAATAGATACGTTTCATATGGTTATGTTTTAAACCTAAGCACATAGTGATTATATTTTCATGGTCACTTAGCACAGTTTGCTGTGGGTTAGTGATTCTTTCTGAAAGCAGTTTCTCACAGGCAGTATCACTTCTGAAACTGGGTACAAACCAGGGGTCAGAGCAGTGGTTTCCTTGTTGGCTCACTGCCCCCTGATAGATTGTTGTTTTGGGTTGGGGGTAGAGGATCAAAGTAGATTTGAGGATGCATACTTCATTCTGGGGTTCTGGTGTAGTCTGAAGGGAAAAATTAATCACCTTGAAATCCTTTTTTTTTTTTTTTTTTTGAGACAGAGCCTCAAGCTGTCCCCCTGGGTAGAGTGCCGTGGCATCACAGCTCCACGGGCTTAGCAACCTCCAACTCCTGGGCTTAAGCGAGTCTCCTGCCTCAGCCTCCCAAGTAGCTGGGACCACAGGCACCCGCCACAATGCCCAGCTATTTTTTGGTTGCAGCTGTCATTGTTACTTGGCTGCCCGGGCTGGGGATTTGAACCCGCCACCTTAGGTGTATGTGTGTGATGCCTTAGCCACTTGAGCCACAGGCGCTGAGCCACCTTGAAATCCTTTTAAAGGGGCTTTTTATTCCTATAACAAGTTTAAGTTGCCTTTGGGTACAAAATAGGAATTTGATAATAGGAATTTGGGTTATGCTGGATTAGAATAGATACTGTTGTCAAAAACAAAACTCCATCAAACCAAGAGGCCAAGGACAAATGGCAGCCAGTGCATATCTCCCTGTTTCATCTGTCTGACCGCTTGGTCCTTCCCTCCCACAAAGGAAATCATGTTTTCTCTTCTAACTCACCTCCTACTGGGCTTATGCACAAAGAGCAGGAAGTGTCGGATTTCTGTCACTGCCGACATTTTAGTTCTCCACACAGACAGTACTGGAGTCTGATGAAATTACAAAGGTGCTACATCAGAACATGTCTATTTGTGAAACTAATGTTAATAGAAATCTTAAATCTAAATTGAAAATATCATGTGGACATACTTTTAAAAATTAGTTACATTTGTCCTAGCTTTTAATAGTAAAACACAAAATCTGAGGCTCGGAGTGTGTGACTATATTTGTAGGGTGAGCTGTGTGTGCAGCTCGAGCTGCTGGCTGGCTGCCCCTGTGTGGGCATCTGAAGACAAGACTCTCAGCGTAATAAGAGGGGACAGAAATATGTTTCTTAGGATAAAAAGGGAGAAATAACACCTTTAGGGTTTGTAAATATTATGTACCATGATTTCAAGTGAAAATGAACGAGGATGGATATAGAAATACATATTTTAGTAAATTTTGCTAGAACCCAAGTTAATGGGATTTGAGACATTGCTTTCCTGTCCTCAAAATTCACATTGTTTTGATTATATATTAGATTTTGCTGATTTTTTTTAAAATTGGTTACATGAGTTGAATCTCAACTGGAAAATAACTCACTATTCAATAGAAACTCTTATTGCTGTTTTTGTTACTGTCTTTCAGGATTGGAGGTTTTAAAGCAGGAAACAGCAGTTGTTGAAAATGTCCCCATTTTGGGACTTTATCAGATTCCAGCTGAGGGTGGAGGCCGGATTGTACTATATGGAGATTCCAATTGCTTGGACGACAGTCACCGGCAGAAGGGTAGGAAAAAAGCAAATGAGCTTAGAGATTTTGGCGCACAAATCCTTTCTTTGCTTAGTCCCTGAAAGGCGCTGATAAGATGCTGGTGATTAAACAGATCCAGCTCATGTGAGCCAGGGTCCGTGGGGGAAGTGCAGGTTGCTTTGAATGTTTGAAAGGTATCAAAGTCTGAACACATTTAATGAACAGAGCAAAACTGCTTTTATGAGCTGTGATGCTTTTTCTCCACCTTCCTCATCTGGAACCAGTGGAGGCCAGAGAAGGACAAACTAGTCCTCCCCTCCTCTTCAGCTTGTCTGATGCATCCTCCAGATTTGGGTGTCTGAGTTTGGAACAGACTTGAATTTTCTCATTTTATAAAGGAGGAAATGCAACGGTGGAAGTGCTGACCTGTTTTTTTGTTTGTTTGTTTTTAATGAGGCAGAGTTTCACTATGTCACCCTTGGTAGAGTGCTGTGGCATCACAGCTCTCAGCAACCTCAAACTCCTGGGCTCAAGCGATTCTCTTGCCTCAGCCTCCCAAGTAGCTGGGACCACAGGTGCCAGCCACAACGCCCAGCCATTTTTTGGTTGCAGTTGTCATTTTTGTTTAGCTGGCCTGGGCCAGGTTCAAACCTGCCAGCTTTGGTGTTTGTGCCTGGTGCTATAGCCACTGTGCTACAGGAAGTGTTGACCTTTTTACCTGGTAAGCTGAAGGCTCATGACACCAGGCCTGAAACCTGGTCTAGCTCCCTGCTGACCCCTGGAGAGGTGGGGGGGGAGGGTGAGCTATAGCCTGGTGATGCAGGCAGCGGGCCATGGGCGTGCGCCAGGAGTGCATCTGCACTCTGGTTTTAAGTCAGAGTTGGCTAAGTCCATAGCATTTAGAGAAGTCCTCAGACTCTGATTGGTCTTTTTAAAAATTAGAAGTGAGAGTTAAAGTCATAGTTAAAAGAAGATTAATGTTTTATTTCCACAGAGATTTTCTTTTAAGACCTGAGATCTCCTGATAGGAGTCTTTATTAAAATTTTAAATGCCTAAGAGGACTGTCCGGGTCCTCAGATTTCAAATAGCAGCTTTTAGGATCTTTTAGGGACTTGGAGCACTTGACCAGAGTGCTCTTTAATGAGAGAAAAGAACTTAATGGTGTTTCTTCTCTCGTGAATGGTCTAAAACAAGTTGATGTTAATGGGACTCAAAGCAGCAAACACGGAGAGAAACAAAATGGCAAGAGAAATTTCAGCTTTTACCCTGTGCTCAAAAGGTATCATTGGGAAAAGAGAGAAGGAAAACATCGTGGGTTTATGTACAGGAAAGTGTCTTCAGCCTCCTAATGGAAAGGCTCCATCCTGACGGGGAGCTGGTGACATCCCAGCACCTACACTCTAGGACGTCCCTGAAGACAAAGTGTTCTTTCCTTTCACACGTCAGTGGTGAGGGCCACTGGCTAGAAGGCCAGCTCAGATGGTAGACTCCCTGTGTGCCCCTGCCCTCACCTCAGGAGGTACACTCCTCCCTGTCACATCCCACTCTTCCCCAGGACGGCCCTGGGCAGGTGCAGTGGTCCCTGCTGTCCTCTCCCACTCACACCAAGCCTCCTCTTGAGGCCATTCTTTTCTTGGTGGGTGTCACCTGATCTCGCTGTGTCTAAGTGAGCTCTATTCTGTCCTTGTCCACAGGGGGCCCAGAGCTAAGTGTGGTGCTTGGGTAGTGGGTCTGGCCTTGTGGACAGTGGTTCTGACCTGCTTGGGGTGTGGGGAGTGAAGGCCACGGTCAGGTTGTGCCTGTGCATGCTGGCCTGTGGGGCTGGGACTGCCTGTGGAGAATGCACATCTCATGAGAACATGTCAGGGTTACTTTTATGTAAATTTCTGACTTCTGAGCTATACCATTTCCACCTCTTAAGGGGGCTACCTTTTTATTTCCCTGTGGAGATACCTTTTTAACCAAATGACATTTCTAAACAGCATGCTTGTTGACTCTGCAGATTGCTTTTGGCTTCTGGACGCGCTCCTTCAGTATACATCCTATGGGGTGACACCTCCCAGCCTCAGTCATTCCGGGAACCGACAGCGCCCTCCCAGTGGGGCGGGCTCCATCAGTCCAGAGAGGATGGAGGGTGAGTGAACCAGCAAATGCCCCAGGAAACAGGCTGCACACACAGAGCGGTGTGCTTGCCAGGACTCGGGGCCAGCTAGTGTGAGCCCCTGGGGCCTTTTCTTGATGGCTGCAGGGGGACCAGCACATGGTGGCCCTAACCTGCAGAGGGCCATTCTCACGTCCCAGGAAGAACTCGTACTGAGGGCCCCGTGTGTAGGTGCTTTCCCAGGCTCTGTCCCACTCCTCTGACCCTCCACGTCAGTGTTTGCTATTCACCCTTCCAGATGAGGGCACTGGCTCCTGAGGGTCACCAGCATTTTTTAGCACTCACTAGTACCAGGCACCAGGCTAGGAGAGCTTTACATGAATTATCCTGCTAACTCCTCTCAGTAATCTGTGAAGTAGATACTTGTATTTCTACTGACAGAATGTAAATAGCTGCCTGAGATCACCCAGGCAGGCATGCAGTGGAGTGTGAGCCGCAATCTGAGACTTGGGTGATTCTGTGGGGCCCCAACAACTTTGCATACAGCAGGGCTAGTGGCAGTGCCCATATGTCCTTAGCGTTCCAATTTTTGGAACTGTCCATGTCAGCCACAGATGTCATTTAAAAGTTTCCAGAAGCTACGTAAAAGAGGAAAAAGAATGAGCAAAATTTATTTTGAGATGCTTTAGTCCAGTACATGAGAAATACTGTTTAAACATGTGACTCCTCATTTTAGTGGCTCCATAATCACATGTGGCTAGTGCAGGGGTCCTCAAACTTTTTAAACGGGGGGCCAGTTCACTGTCCTTCAGACTGTTGGAGGGCTGGACTGCGGCCCCAGGACGAGTCAGCTGCTAAGCAGGACAGGCAGCGGCGGCAAAAACACCCAGCAGGCTGGATAAACGTCCTAGGCGGGCTGCATGCGGCCCAGAGGCCATAGTTTGAGGCTGCCTGGGCTAGTGGCTACAGTTTTGTATGGCACAGATCTAAGATACATGAGGGATTTTGAAAATACAGGGGGTGGTTTGGCCAGTGGATTGGCTATTTCAGAAGGGAAGAATTTTTCCATGAAGCCTATACGTTAGATCCCTGAAGTGTAGCCTGTGTGTGTAGCTAATGGTCAGCAAAGGTTGACCAGCCAGGCCCATACATATAGTGTGGCCATTTTAAAAGGAATGGTTCTGATTATTCTCACCTATCTTCTGCAGTGAAATCATATATTGTCTGCGAGGAGCCAGACAGGGTAGTTCCTAAAGCACATGAATGACATGTGAACATAGCACAGTAGGCCTGTTGGCAGGAAGAAGACAGACACACTCGGCTGTATTTTTTCCTTTGCATTTTAATAATGGAGATTATTTCCTTTTTTGTTATTGCTGCTAACTGTAGGAAACCATCTTCATCGGTACTCCAAGGTTCTTGAGGCCCATTTGGGAGACCCAAAACCTCGGCCTCTGCCAGCTTGTCCACACTTGTCTTGGGCTAAGCCACAGCCTTTAAATGAGACGGCACCCAGGTTAGTGTCTGCCTGTTCCTTTCTACTCTTTCTGCATGGCCTGTGAGTCATTCCTATTTTTTTATAAGACAGAATGGAATTTTACTGACATTATCAAATAATCAAATCTTCTGTCATTTGTGATGCTTATTTAAATTAGTGAGCCTCCATATTGACCTTTAGAAATATGTTAGTATCCTACTTTGAAAGGTGCTTTGGATAGATAATTCACATTTTGTTACATTTGGTTAATTCTTATTTAAAAGCTGTGATCCAACAGTGATGTCACTTGAACTGAAGCTCTGACTCCTCGATTTGGAGCAGAGTATTGCCATCTGTAGTTGTGCTACTTATTTGAGAAATTAATTATAAAATACAGATCAGTCATTTTCTCTTACCCAGGGGCTGAGACTGCTGTGTGGATCGGGTTCTTCTATTGCAGCCCAGCTGGGAAGAGTGTGCTTCTGTGCTTCTAGCTTCTTCCTGTGCTACTGTGATGGGGGAGAGAGCACCTCATCTGGTGACAGGCTGCAGCCTCTGTCTGCAGTCATCACACTTCTTTGTGTGGTGCCCCAGAGCCTGGCTTAGTCTCAGTGTACTCCTCTGTCTTGCTGGCTCAAGCTCTTCACTCAAATCACTTCCTTTCGGCAGCCAGTGCTAGAGCCGTCTGCTGCTTCTCTGTGGCCGGGACGAGCTTGTACAGTGCAGCTGTCCCTGTTTCCTCCAGATCCCACCTCTCCCTGTTTCTCCATGGCACCCTGGCCTGAGCAGGACAGTTCAAGGAGGAAGATGGTGAAGCCAGGGACAAGCTGTCACCGCCATCCTCCTGGCCAGGCAGGCCCACACATATCTCCATCAGGCAGGAGTCCTTCCCTCCATGCCTCTCGGCTGTCTGGCATTAGCCCCTCCCCTGCTATCCCACTTCGGGCAGTGGGTTCCTCTCCAGAGAGGTCCCTGCCTGCCTTCTTTCTTATCCCCTCGAGGCTGCCCACTGTGCCCTGTGCTTGGAACAGCCATGGAGAGGTGTTGGGTGGCCCAGGGTGTGGGGCCAGGGCAGAGTGCCACCGTGTGCACTGTCACAAGGAGGAGACGCCTGCACGAAGGCAGTGGAGCCTTCCTCTGCCTTTACCCTTCATCATAAACAGACAGTGCTTAGTGACCATATGTCTCCATTTAGAGTAGGCTGGGAAACCAGCAGAATTGTAGAAGCGTCACATTGCTTTCTCATCAGCAGTTCTCTGAACCTTTAATTACTGAGTACTTTTCCATTCTGGCTAACATCCCATCATTTAAAAATTTCTGATAAGTTTCCATTTTTGCATCCTATTTATTTATAACCTTCTATTATCATAGCATTCAAACCAGAGTTTATATTCCAGCCATGGTCAGCAGTTCATACTCAGTGGACAGTCAGTGTTCACTAAAGTTCCAAAAACCCAGTTATTCTCTGCAGTGTTGTTCAGGACTCTGAGAAGCAGATGGCAATGTCCTTTGGTATCTGCTTGTCCACATCAAATAATCCATCACATACTGAACTGGCCCATCAAGGAAGTTGATAATGTACGGCTCCTAGAATTTGATTTTCACAACACTGTCAGTAATTCCTCCTCCTTAATTCTCTGCCGGGTTTCCCGTTTATCTCACATTTCATATCTTGTTGAAAATAAGTCTTAGTCCTGGGAGACACAGTTTGAGACTTATTCTAAATCTCTAAAAGAGAAAAGTAGACAGCTGTAGACGTCTCTACACTCAGTGCTGAGGGCAGGAGTGCGACTGCATGAAAGGAGCTGGTGTCTTCTGGGCCCTGAGTGACCATCCACACAGATGGCAGCTGTCATCCCCGGTCCAGGAGGAGCCCTTCCTAAGCATAAAGTTAAATCACACAAAATAGAACAGGTCATAATAAATACTCAGTGGTGTTCAGGCAGTCGCCCGGCTGGGAGCACCCAGTGGCAGCCTCTCTCTCCCTGCCAGGAAGCCTCTCCACGCACAAGCCCGTCACCCTCCAGCTCTGCCTTGACTCTTAGGCCTGCATGTCTTTGCTTTTACTCAACCCAAAGTAAAAGAGACCAACTCCCAAAATAGGGAGTTCATAATCTGCAGAAATAATGTGTCTTTTCTTCACGAACAGTATTTGGATTTTCTGTTGGCCCTCTTTGCTCCAACCTAGTGTCATTCCAAACCCTTGCTGCTGTGGACAGCATGTCACTCTCTTACTCTTCATTCTAAGTTGTATTGGCCTCAATAAGAGTTGGTGATAATGGCACCATGCTGCCCTCCACGGGGCACACGCAAGTCCTCTGCCCGTCAGCTGCCCTGCAGGCCAGGCAGTTTATCCCCACTGTGCTACTTAGACTTCTCCACTGACCGTTTTCCTGTGTGTTCGTTGTAAATTCTCCCTTGGGATGTTGGTTCCTTGAGGACAAAGATGGTGTCGATTCCCAGCACCATTCTATGCCTTTCTTACGTGTGGCAGTTGTGGAGTCACCTCTGCTGCATGCCCCATGTCAGTCAGAAAGCAGGTGCCAGTGGCTCGGGTGCCTTGTGGGAGAGGACTCTGGCCCCAGGGCCGTGTCCACTCACCCGGCTTTAGCTCTCCTGTCCACAGCCTCCTTTCAGAGGTTTGCCAGAAATGTCTTCTTGCATTGCTTGGTGGTATTTCCAGCTTTAAACAAAGATGAGCGCGTGTTGGCAATATTAATTGTGTAATGTAAACCCAGTGAGATTAATCTCTCCTTGCATGATTAAAATCTCATGAGCAGGGACTTGATTTTGACATTTCTCTCTTAGAACTTGGAAATGGTCATTGGAAATATTTTACATTTCTCTTTAGATAACTTTTTGTAAGGTATTGGCTGACTTCCTAGGTTAGTATAATTGCTTAGTCCAATGCAGTTTTTTTGGGGGGGGGACAGAGTCTCACTATGCAGCCCTCGGTAGAGTGCCGTGGCATCACAGCTCACAGCAACCTCAAACTCCTGGGCTTCAGTGATTCTCTTGTCTCAGCCACCCATGCAGCAGGGACTACAGGCGCCTGCCACAATGCCCAGCTGTTTTTCTGTTGCAGTTGTCATTGTTGCTTAACTGGCCCTGGCTGGGTTCAAACCCACCAGCTTCGCTATATGTGGCTGGTGCCATATAACAACTATGCTCCAGGCGCCAAGCCTTTAATGTAGTTTTAATCCTTTTTCCTGAAGTAATCTTTGGAAACATCAAAAGTTACTCTCCATCGACCTGGACAAAGTGGTGTTACCCAACTTCAGATCAAATCGCCCTCAAGTGAGACCCTTGTCACCTGGAGAAAGTGGTGCCTGGGACATTCCTGGAGGTAAGATCTTTCTTTTTGTGCTTAAATCTCGAATTTTGTTCAGAGTAGTCCCCCCCCCCCCGGAGCATCTGGGTCTTCTCGCATCTTTGTCTTCTTGGGAGCAGTGACAGTCTTGGCTTTTTTTGTGGTACAGATCAACAAGGTCAAAAATAAGCCCAATGATTATTAAGACATTGTTTCTTTAACACAATTTTAAATAGGTTTTCAAATTCAAAGTTCTTTTACAATAGCCAAGTGTTACACTTAAAATCTTTCAAAGTAACTTGCATACTCTTTCTGAAAGCTCTGCAAAGCACTTATTATATCCCAGGGGACATCTGTCTACTGTTTTGGGTCCCAGCCCGTGACAGTAGCTACCCTGAGCCCCAGCCCAGAAGTCTCCTGTAGTTCTCTGTGTTGACCTGCCTGAGATGATCCTTGACTGAGCTGGGGTGTGCCCCTTAGGTGATCTGATACTGTCCCCTCCATAGATAGTGCTTGAATAGATTACTTGGGACAGCTGGTACCAGGTCTGTCCAGCAGAGCATGGGCAGCTCTTTTACTCTGAAAACGTCTGCACTCTTCCGGAGTACAGCTGCCAAGGAGGATTGCTTTGGGTTCCAGGGTTGGCCACAAACTAAGGGGTACCCAGCCCCTGTAGTCTAACCCTGAGAACTTTGCATAGTGATGGCAGAATCCTGAGGGCCTTGCCTGTGGGTCCCAGGGTACGCTGAGGATGGCAAATTCAGGAGCCCTCACATTGCTTGGTTACAAAGGCCTATTAAGATTCTGAACCAAGGGCCCTGTGGTGGCCGCTGCTGGTTTCAGTCACACACACACCCCAGCCATGGAGGGCTCCCCAGAAGGGTGGGCATGGCCAGTGGTCCGTCCTCTTCCTTCTACTCAGTGGGGCCAATACCAGCACAGCCTTCTTTCTCTTGATCCCTGGATCAAGATGCATCCATCTTCCATTGCCTCTAGGGAAACAGAGAGTACCTGTGGGCCTATTGTATTTTCTGTGACAGAATCAAGAGTCAGTTCTGGTATCCGTTGGTGGTGAGCCTGGGGAGGATTGGGAGCATAAACCCCACCTCGCCCTCCACCCCCTGCAGGGACGCTCCTGTTTGGCATCTGTGGGGCCTGGCTGCCTCACCTCTCTCCCACTCCTCAGTTCATGGCCTGAGTTACTTGAGCTGACGTTTAAAAACGATATCTTCCCTGTAAGCCAGGCTAATGAAATTAGGCAGCATTTAGTTGTTGATGAATCCAGCTGTCACAGAAAAAGAGGCCATAGCAGTGGCTCTCTGGCGTCACTGACTGTCGTCCGGCTATTCTCTTGCAGGGATAATGCCTGGCCGCTACAACCAGGAGGTGGGCCAGACCATTCCGGTCTTTGCCTTCCTGGGAGCGATGGTGGTCCTGGCCTTCTTTGTGGTACAAATCAACAAGGCAAAGAGTAGGCCGAAGCGGAGGAAGCCCAGGGTGAAGCGCCCACAGCTTATGCAGCAGGTTCACCCCCCAAAGACCCCATCAGTGTGACCCGCAGACTGGCTAACGGTGAGAGCCAAAGAGAGCCTGCGGGGACTGCTCTGGTGGGCAGGCTGGGCTATGGAGAGCTTCTGTGAGGGCTGCTGGCATGGAAGGGATCTAGTGTCCAGCTGCAGGATCACTGGAGTCCATTCTCAGTGGGCCTCCCCTGTGATGGTGGGAGGCTTGGGTGTCCTGAAGGATCTCGTGGCCATGGGCTCCAACAGGAGGAACTCCACGGCTCAGCCTCAAGTAGGACTTCACACCAAGCAGGTGTGCGAACACCAAAGACTTGGGAGAACCTGGGAAGGCCGACTGGGGTCTTCTGACCTGAGAGGAAGGATGTACTTTTTAAACAGATGAAACAATCCTGACCAAGCTACAATACGCTTGTTAAAGGCTATTTTCTATATTTATTGTTGGGGAAAAGTCACTTTAAAGACTTGTGCTATTTGGAAACAAAGCTATTTTTTTTGTCAATGGAATGCAGTTTTTTACTATTACATCATGAGGAATAACACAGATTCCATAATCTCCTTTTTGATGAAAGGACATTCTGACATTTGACAGAAACTTGCACAAATCTGTGAAACACAGACCTTTGCTTTATTTTTATAAGTATCAACTGCCATCATGTTTTGTAATTTGGGGTCTTGATTTCACCATTGTTGGTGAAGAAAATTTTCAATAAACATGCACTACCTGTATGAAGCAGAACAGCGTTGCGTGACAGACTCTTCTGCTGGTTCTGTTTCTCTTTTGATAACCTAGATTGGGTTCTGATTTAGCTTGTTAATTTTTTTACTGAGCTATAATTCATGTATAGGGTGACCAGACGTCCCAATTTTGGCGGGACAGTCCCGCTTTTCAACAATTTGTCCCGCCATCCACAGTGTTTTAAAAAAGTCCCGATTTTTGGAAAGAATGCACGAATGGGTTGGAGAACAAGAAGGGAACATATGGTTTTCGGCCGCCATATGGCTATTTCGCCAGAATATGAGTTTTATATTATTTTTGTTAATTTTATAATGTTAAACTGTAATAAATAATTGCTGAGAAGTGATTATCGAGAACTGCTTATCAAAGTTTGCCTTGTTGTCAGGCCCTGCCTGCCCCATCCCTGCCCCGCCCCTGCTCCGCCCCCCGGCCATGTTGTCACGCCTTACAGATGTTAAAATCTGGTCACCCTATTCATGTACCATAACACTCTCCATAGCATACCACTGAGTGGATCTTAGTGTATTCACAAGGCTATGCGACCATCACCCCTCACCATCTACTTCCAGAACACTTGTAACACCCCAGGAGACACCCCGTGCCCATCAGCAGTCCCCCGACCCTCGCCCTTCCCTCCTCCTGGCAGCCAGTCTGCTCTCTGTCTCTAGATTTGCCTGTCCTGGACGTCTCCTAAGTAGAATCACACAGCGTGTGGTCCTCGTTCCCGGCTTCTTCGCTCTGCACATTTCTGAGGCTCACCCCTGTGGCAGCACGGGTCAGTACCTCCTTTCTTTTTACGCTGAGCAGTATTTCCCATTGTGGGGGTGAACCACATCTCGTTCATCCTTCCTCAGTGGATGGACGTGTTGCCACGGGTTGGCTGTTATTACCCGGTGCTGCTCTGACTATTCTAGTACAAGGTTTTGTGTGAACATAAGTTTTTTATTTCTGTTGTCTATGTACTAAGGAAATCCCATACCTTTGGGTTTAAGTTTCTAGGTACTGCCAAACTTTTTTTCCAAAGCAGCCACACCATTTTACATTCTTGCCAACGACATGTGAGGCTCCCATTCTCTGCATCCTTGCCAGTGCCTGTAATTCTTTTTAATTACAGCCGTCCTGGTGCGTGTGAAGTAGTATGTCAGTGTGGTTTTGATTCGCATTTCTCTAACGACTAAAGGTGTCGAGCATCTTTGTAGGTCTTTATTGGACATTTGTGTATATTTTTCTGAGAAATGTCTGTTCAGAAGTGAAGTAGGAAATCTTGCTATATTTCAGATGTGAGTCCCTTATCAAATACGTAACTTGTGCGCATTTTCTCTTCATTCCTGGAGTTGCCCTTTCACTTTCTTGATGATGTCTTTGGAAGCATAAAAGTTTTTCATTTTGATGAAATCAGTTTTTCTACTTTTTTCTTTGGTTGCTGGTGTATTAGGTGTCCTGCCTAGAAACCCTCATCTAACCCCAGGCAGCCCATCCACGAGTCTGTTGTCCAAATGCTAACTGAGCCTTAGCCCACGTGCCCACGTACGAGGATGGATGGGAGAGGAGACTGGGGTGCTGACGGGGTGGGGCTGAGGTCATGGGCAGGAATGATCCCAGGCTGAGAAGCCACAAAGGCCCAGTCCTCCCTGCTCAGCAGGTCAGGTGGGGGCACCGTGCAACTCTCCCTGAGCTCCAGATGCAGTAGCTTTCAGGACTTGAGGGTTGCTGAGGCCCTGGGCAGCGTTGTCCCTGTTGTCAGTGCCTCGGGCACCCCCATCAGCCCCCAGGGTGTGCACTTTTGGCAGTGGCCTGCTCATCCTCAGCAGGTGGTTGTGGGCCTGAGTACCCCTTGTGCCCATGTGGACAAGGACTATACATGGCACTTTTGGAGTCTTGTGGCTCCCTGCCAGTCCCCTGTAGGTATGGGGCACTCACCACCTACAGCTCAGGACTGCAAAAGCTGGGACCACCAGTTGGGACCCATGCATGACAAAATGGGCCAGGCATGTAACAGTAAGGCAGGTAGCTTGAGGCTCAGTGGAATACTAGGCCCAGTCTTGGGGACAGTGTGTCTTTTTTTTCTTTTTAAGACAGGGTCTCACTCTGTGTCCTGGGTAGAGTGCTGTGGCGCCTTAGCTCGCCGCAACCTCAAACTTGTAGACTCAAGCAATCCTCCTGCCTTAGCCCCCTAGTAGCTGTGACTACAGGCACCTGCCATAACAACCAATTTTTCTTTTTAGTAGAGAGGGTCTCACTCTTGCTCATGCTAGTCTTCATCTCCTGAGCTCCAGCGATCCTCCTGCCTTGGCCTCCCAGAGTTCTGGGATGACAAGTGTGAGCCGCTATGCCTAGCTGACGGCATGTCTTGATTCAAGAGAAGCTTGAAACCAGGATCACGCAAAACTTCCCAGGTTTTAATGTTGACAGATGACTGAACTACAGAATTTTTTTGTAAACTAAACAAAATTTCTTCCATCTCCATTATAAGATCATGGTAACACGGCAGGCAATGTGATTGTGGAACAAAGTTCTAGGCTGGAGAATGTCGAACTGGAGGATTTAGTTTCCATGGGGACTGTATGGCCTATACTCCTATTTCCTTGGGAACCTTGGTACCTCATCCTCAACAGCTAGAACTTGGGCCTGGGTGTGTGGGGGGTCTTTAATGTCCCTACCCACTGAAGAGTTCTCGACCAGCCTTCACAGTATCTGTATCATTTGCCTTCCTGTTCCAGGCTTTGCTGTGCTAAGGGATCATATGCTCCCATGGCCGTCTCAGGGAGTGGGCACACACAGGGTTTAGGGCAGGTAGTTGTGACAGGATGAGGAGAGAGGTGGACAAGCCTGGATGCCCAGACCACACTTAGAGGGTAAGTCAGGAACAGAAGAGAAAGTTCTAAGTGTTAAGATTTTTAGGGCCTGTGGTTGCTGTGGCTCCAAGGAGGGAGTCTGCATGAGGGGTAACCTAAGCGTGTGAAATTCAGCAGCTAATGCAAGACTGGCTGGCCCTGAGCACGGACAGCTCCCTGCACTGGTGCAGGTGCCTGGCCTCCTGGGTGGGGTGAGGGGGCGTGCCTGCCAAAGAGGCCATGTTAATGGAAGTGGGACCTTTCTGTCTAGTAGCCGGACTGATGTCCTTGCACAGAATCACACAACTAGTAGCGTCAGGCAGGATTTGAACTTGGATCGGCCTCAATTTTAAAACCCGTGTGCTTAAACCTCTGTTCTCTCCAGCTGGCACATCTGTCTGCCTCACTTCAAAGAGACAAAGTCTGTCCCATGTTAGGACACTAAGCCACCCAGCATCACCCCCTGAGCTCCGCCTCCTGTCCTCTTCCCCCTGCCACACACAACATTCATGGAAAACTTGCCCTCCATGAAACTGGTCCCTGGTACCACCGAGGTTGTGGACCGCTGCCCTGGGGCAAACAATTACTGTGTGACCCAGCAATGTCACTCCTAGGTCTATAGCCAAAAGATTTGAAAACAAAAACCTGTGTGTGAAAGTTCACAGCCACACTGTGCACAACAGGCAAAAGGAAGGCACAGCCCACACACCGGTCCGTGGATGAGAGGACCCCGGGCAGACACAGCGTAGCCATGCAGGATCCTGGCCACGGAAAGGAACGAAGTTCTAACCTGGAAAACATGCCGGGTGAAAGAAGCCAGATGCAAATGGCCGTCTGATGCCATCTTCATGAATTACCTGGAGAAGACAAGTTCATAGAGATGGGAAGTGATTAGTGGCTGCCAAGGGTTCGGGCAGTGATTTTCAGTCGGTGGCACAGCACGCTGGTGTGCTGGGAGAGGGTCTTAGGCGGGCCACAGACATTTTTAAAGATCACTAAATTATTTTTGAAAAGGTCAAAACACAGTAAGTATATTGTTTCTTTTTTTGATCAACACAATTTAAGTGTGCCATGGAAGTTTAACTGTGGGGTCAAGTGTGCTGTGAGATGAAAAACGGTTGGGAGAGGGGTTTTGTTTTGCAGTGAAGAAAATGTTCTGGAATTAGATAATAGTGAAGTTTGCCTAACATAGCATAAAGTCACTGAATTACACACTTTAAACTGGTTAAAATGGCTAGTTTTATGTTAATTCTTACTAATTGCTCTTTCACACAGGCACACACATTCCTGCCCCCCCCCCTCCCCGGCTTTCTCTTGAACAGGTGAGCCCCTGGGAGAGGCTGTCTGGGCCCTGTAGAGCCCAGGTCAATGTGGACCCCAGTGGTCAGGACTGCAAGGCTCAGCCTGCTGCCAACAGCCCGCCCCACTTTCCCTCCGTGACACACAGCGGGCAGCAGGATTGTGAACATGAAGGTTGTGAGAATGCTTACCTTCTGCCTTCACCCAGAGTGGACTTCTGATGGTAACCCCCTGGAGAGCCAGCACGGTAATGAGGGGGAACATAGGGACTCTGAGGGCCCCATGCCTGCCACAGCCTAAGGGGTCCCAGGGCTTCTGCTGTCAGAGTTTCCCCTCTGCGGTCAGAACTCAGGATGCCACCGACTTTGTTTCTGTGGCTACTGTCACAAATTACCACAAATCCGGTGGTGTCAAACCACATGTTTACTCTCCTGCAGTTCTGGAGGTGGGAGGTCAGAATTCAGTCTCACTGGGCTAAATCAAGGGGTCAGCAGGGTTAGTGCCTTTCCTAGTGTTAGTAGCTAGAGCACCCTTGGGCCTACGGCCCCATCCTCCGGCCTCCATCTCAAGCACACTACTCCCATCTCTACTTCCATCTTCATGGGCCTCCTCACTGACTTCTGACCCCTACTAGGTCTGGAGGTGAAAGCAAGGACACCTTTGGGGCCATCATTCAGTGACCACACTGGGTCTTGCTGTCCTTAAGGTGTCTTATGTTTGCCCTGCAAGGACCTGGGGGCAAACCTCCCTGGGGAACTCCCGCAGGCACCTCTGCCCTTAAAAGCCCCTGAGCTGCTGTCATCTGTGGACACTTGAAACTTTACCCCTTCAGCATCTTGGGCTTACAGAAGCTGGATTTTCCTAAGCAGCCTTTGTGGGCTGGGCCTAGGGCTGGAAGTTGCATAGCAAGGAGGACCCAGGGCTCAGGTAGGACGGGGTCAGATGGAAGTCCTACTTGCCCAGAACTGGGATTCCACTTTCCCTCATCTGCCCTCTAGAATTTACTGTGAGTTTGAGCATGAAGATGGGGAAGAGGAGCAAAGGGTACCTTCTTCTTGACTCAAGCAGTCGGGGAAGGAGGGGATCCTCAGGGATCTGGAGGAGGGACGGGGGTCAGCAGCTGGACAGGGCTGGTCTCTGCAGCACAAAGGGGAGAATGCCGCCACCTGCTGAGAGCACCTGGGCAGGTGCCATGCTGTGCCACTACCTGTGCCATTCCCCACTGCACCTCTGTGTGCCACCCCGCCCCACTTCCTTCTATACCGCAGCCAGCGGCAAGCCTGGTGGGGCTGGGCTGGGTGGGCAGAGCCGCTGCAGATGGGGCCCAGTGGGGCACCCAGCACGGCTGGGAAAGGTCACAGCCCTGTGATGCCAGCAGAGGGCAGATATCAAAGCCCCTCAGAATTAAGAGGCGTCTTGTTGCTTGGGATTTCACAGCCCAGTGGCCAATTCCTAAGTCATGCACATTAATGGGCAGCTAATGAGGCGCCATGACAGGGGCAGGGACATGCCCCCAGTCCCCAGAGCGGAGATTAAGGAGTACAAAGCCCCCAGCCGCCCTTATCTTCTTTTCAGGGGCTGGATGTGGGAGAAGAAGGGATGATGGGCGTTTGCAGGGCCTGGGAGAGTGGTATGACTCACGTGTGGCTCTTGCGTGCCCCCGCCCCAGCCAGGCGACTGCACAGCCCTACCTGCCTTATCCCCACAGTTTAATGACTGCCCGCAGAGAGGAGGATGTGGAGTTTAAACTGGTATAGCAAGAAAGGCCTTGCCCAGTGCAGCCCTGACCTGGGTCAGTATCCCTAGAAAGTCCCTGGACCACCATGGGCCTTCCCAGGAGCCCTGCTGGTGCCCCTGGCTGAGCTTGGCACTGGGGAGTCCCTTCGTGCCAGAACAGTCCCCACCCCTCACCATTGGTGCACAGATGCGGCACCTTCTCCAAAAGCCCCTCCAGTTTCCCCCATCCCTGCTCCTCTAGCCCTGTGGCCCAATCCTTCTCCACTGGGTCAGAGTTGCTGGTCTTGTCCTGACAATGGGACTGTCGCCTCATCCATAGCACAGGACTTCTCTTTGACCTCTGAACTCTCAGGGCCTGGCAGGCAGTAGGTGCTTAATAAATTAGTGTTTGTCAGATGGCTGACAGAAAGCACGGGCCCAGATACTAGCGGCGCCATGGGCTGAATGGTGGCCCCAGCAGATATGTCCACACCATGCCCTGGAGCACAGGTTTGGGAAAGGAGAGGTCTTTGCAGAGTTAACTACAGTAAGGATCTTGAAATGGGGTCACTTTGGATTGCCCAGGTGGGTCCTAAATCCAGTGACAAGCGTCCTCATGAAAAGAGAAGATGACAGCCCAGGGAGAAGGCCCCATGAAGGCAGAGTGAAGATCAGCACCAAGGGACACCTGGAGCCCGCAGCATCCAGAAGGGGCAGGAAGGATCCTTCCTAGAGCCTCCAGAGGGAGTGGGGCCCTATCTATACCTTGATGTCTGACTTCTGGTCCCCCAAACCATCACAGGAGACTGTTGTTCTGAGCCACCAAGTTTGTCACACTGTTATAGCAGCCACGGGAACCTAATACAGGAGGAAAAACCAAACGACTTTCCCTTTTCTCTCTTTTCTGGAGTCTGTGTTCATGCAGACCTTCCTTAATTCCTGGCTCGGGAGCTGTCAGCGTGGGGGCAGGGCAGGGAGGCAGTGTGATGTCACTGCTTCTGAGATGAGACTGACTTGGGGGTGAATCCTAGTTTTCACTTGCTGGCTATGACATTTTGAGCCCTGTATTTGACCCTCCTGGGCTCAGGTCCTGTTCTGTGTGGTGGGGATGGTTGGGGATGATGGGTACTCGCCCTTGGGAATCAGCATGACCACTTACGCTGAGGCCTCACTCTCAGTGTTACATTTACATGGTGGCCATGTAGATGCCGTCCAGGACATGGCTGCCCTTCCCCTTACCCATGCTGAGAAGCTGGTTGCTCAGCATAGGAGGGCAATTACTGGGCCCCTGTTGTGCGCAGCTGCTAATGCATTAGGGATGTAACACAAGTCAGGGTGTTGGATGGTCAGAAGCCACATGGAGGAAAATTATCCTTTTGGGGCTGACCTGGTGTCTGCACATAGGGACTGATGGGGTAAGGTGGGCTTCTGCTGCCAGTAAAGATGTTTAACTCAAAGCAGGCAGTTGGGCGATGTCTGTGGCCCAAAGAGTAGGGCGCCGGTCCCATATACCGAAGGTGGTGGGTTCAAACCTGGCCCGGCCAAAAACTGCAACAACAACAAAAAGCAGGCAGTTCTCAAAGAGGGGTTTCCCAGACCAGCATCACCACCTGCAGGATCCCAGGCCCATCCCAGGGCCACTGAAGCTCTGTAGACGGGGCCCAAAGCTCAGTCAGAAAAAGCCCTCCAGGGGATTCTGCTGGCAACTGAAGTTTAAGAGCAGAGGGGAGAGGGCAGCTGCTATTCCAGGTTGACCTTCACCTGCACTTCTGGAATGAGGCCATCCCCGATGTTCTGCATCCTAGCTGACCACATTGACTGTTCACAGAGAGGCTGCCTCTTCTCAGAGTATGGTCCTGGGACCAGCAGCTGCCCCAAAGCTGCTTAGAAATACAGAATCTCGGAATCACGGGCTCCACCCAGGTGAAAGCAATCAGAACACTCATTTCAACAAGTCCCAGGTGAATGTGTACACAGGCTGAGTTTGGGGAACGGGTGGGAGTGGAGGGAGGAGGAGGTGAGAGGAGACTCACGGCCCCCTCTCTGCAGATGAGGACACTGGACACACTTTACACACCCTCTCTGGGGCCGGGGGCCTGGGTGAGATCAGGTGCATCCTGCACCTTCATTACTTCCAGCTGAATCCCCTCTGAGGGCCCCTGAGAGAGCCCCACCCCCAGGGAGGGGCCGTAGCACGTGGTGGGGGAGGGTGAGAGTCTTTTAAGAAGCTCTTGTTCAGGTCAAAAGTCGCAAAAGCAGCATCATGTGCTTGGGACAGATCGCTCTGATCATTATGGGTGGTCCCTTAGGTTTGGGGACCGGCCCCTGATCCATGCTTTCCAGGGCTTTCTTTGTTATTCACCCATCCCTGGGTGAGCTCAAATCATTCCTCTTCCACCCCTCCTGGGCCCAGGAAATGCAGCTGAACCTCTTGGGGTGAGCCTTTCCCGATTTGGTGGTAAGGGCTGGGGTTGGGGTGCAATGGGGGTGGGTAGGGGTGAGGGAGATGGGACAGATGAGGAGGGAGGAGGGTCATCTTGGGGCCTAAAGGGATAGAAAGTGGGGCGTAGGGAGGGAGCAGAGTCAGGGAGCAAAGGAACACATCATAATTTGGAAAGGCAGAGCGGAGGCCAAGAGGGAGTTGAGAGGAGGGCCTAGGGCGACTGGGAAGGACGCTTCTCTCAGAGCCATCTGAGCAGATGTCAGGAGCGACACCTTGAACTTGGGAGGCAGTGTGAAGACCACCCTTCCTCTCGTCCCCACCGCCGCCAGCTATGGAGAGACAGCCCCAAAGCAGAGGCCTTCTTGAAAAGCCCCTCCCAGCTGCAGCTGCCCCCACTCTGTCCTCCATGGGGGCTGTCTTCATCCTCCTGAAATCCGCACTGGGAGCCGGCCTGCTCAACTTCACCTGGGCCTTCCACAAAGCTGGTGGCGTCGTCCCTGCCTTCCTGGTGGAGGTGGTAAGTTCCTGGGAAGCATTTGCAGGGGTTGGGGGAGGAGGAGGCTGCAGGGGCAGGTGCAAGATCACTTCGGTTTTTCTGGGTGGGACCTCTGAGCGTGGCTTCTGCAGGGTTGCTGGTGTGTTCTATCTGACTCAGCTGTGAGGGATTTTGTTCTCTATCTGGCTCAGCTGCGAGGGAGGTAGCCCCACTATCGCCCTGGCTGGGGACTATTCTCTACCATCACTAGAGAGGTCTGACCTGCAGCTGGGCAGAGGCCTTGCCGCTCTCTGACCTGTGAATCTGGCGCCTGGACTGGGAAGTTGCCTCTGGGCACCACTGGTCTCAGCTCAGTAACTGAGGCTGAAATCCTGGGTGTAGACTGAGCCCAAACCTGGTGTCACCCCCACATTCCTATCCATTGCTGGGCGGGCCATGTGTGGTGGCAGAGTCTCTGGGCTGAGAGGAGCCACTGCATTTCACATAAGCTCTTTGTGGGTTTTATGACAGCCAAAAGATAATGGCCAAGTTCCACTGTTTGTGGGCCATGGGGCCCTCCGTGTCTCTCTGGAGACTGTCAGCTCCCTTCAGTGTAGTGCCCGGTGTTGGCCCAGCCCAGCTCTGAGCAGCATGGGGTGGACATGGCAGTGTGGTCCCCATGCTCATGCTGCTTTGCTCTCATGGTCCATCAGGCAGGACACACGTAGCCGTAGCCGGTGAAGCTCCAGATGGCACATAGGGGGCTGTCAGGTGACGGGCCTGCTATGACACAGCACAGCCAACAAAGGCCTCTGCAAGGAGGTGACATTTGAGCTCAGTCCCAGAGGAAATGGCACAAGCTGCTGGCAGTACTTTTGAGGGGTGTCACACCTGCGTTTGGATGAGTGCAGCAGTAAGGCTGCTGCTGAGTGAACAGTGAGGAAGCCTGGGCTCAGGCCACAGAGGCTCATGATGGAGCAGGGGCTGGGTTCAGGTGGTCAGGCCAAGGGCTGCAGGAGGGGCGGTGGGGACAGCAGCCTCTCTGGCTTCTCACTGCAGCACAGATGCTGACCCAGCAGGGCTGGGAGGGCTAGGAGCTGCATATCTGACTTGATCCTGGGTGACACAGCTCTTTGCACAGGTTGGTCTGAAGACCCCTGCCTTGGGCACATTTAGAGAGAGGAGCCTCAAACATGGATAAATGGAACATGCCCATAAAGGAAAAGGTCCAGGCTGCCTGTGGACACCCCCCACACCACCCCAAGTTCTGCGAGGGAGATGGAGTGGGGTGGGGAGGGGGTGACTGCAGTAGGAACAACGGAAACAATGGAAGATTCTGGAGCCCCCCCCCCCCAGCCAGCGAGGCGTCTAGAAGGGCGTGTTTAAATGCCATGCCCATGAGGTCAACAGGTGGAGGTTAGAGGTCAACGAACCCTTCAGGGTTGCAGCTTTAATGACATTTGATGAAAGCAACCCAAACCCCCTTGAGAGCTGCAGAGGCCAGAGCTGGCACAAAGGGCTGGGGTGCCTTGCTGTCCTGCTGCTCAGAGGCTCTGGGGGTCCCTCTTGAGGTCACCCCACCCTAGGGATGATTCATAGACTGAGGCTCCCCTCCCCTCAGCCACAGCTGCTGACCGAGGGCCTGCATGTGCCAGACACATCTGGGGCAAAATGATAGGAAAAGTCACTGTCCTGTTTTCATGGAGCTTGGATTCTAGTGGGTGACAGTTGTTGGAGACCGACCCCTATAATGTCACAGGGGGCAGGTATCATTTCCTGTGCCAGATTTCCACAAAATGAGGGGCTTAAAACAGCAAATACGTTCTCTGAGGGCTGAAATCCAGGTGTGGGCAGGGCCTCCCTCTCGCAGGCTTTTGCTCCCGGGCTCCTTCCCCATCACTCTAATCTCTGCTTCCTCTTCTGTCTCTCTAAGGACACTTGTCTTTGGGGTTAGGGCCCATCTGGATGACCCAAGATGACAGCATTTCAAGGTCCACAATCACATGGGCAAAGACCCTTTTTATTTAATTATGCTTTTATTATTGACATCTGCAAAAACTGTTGCCAGTAAGTAGCATTCATAGGTGCTGGGGGTTAGGATGTGAGACAAACACTTCGTGATCCATTCATACAAAGGGCTCTCAGGCAAAACCAGGAATACACTGACACAATCAAAGTGACTCCCACAAACACGCCAAGTGGGAAAAGCCAGAAGTGAAGGTGGAAAAATTCCAGATCAGTGGTTTCACCTGGGGAAGGGACCCATGGACCATCCTGCCATGGAAACCCTATCTGGGTTGGGGTTACACTCATGCTTTGTTATACCTTGTCCAGTGACACATTTGAGATTTTGTGCATTGCGTTTCATGTAAATTTTTTTTACCCGTGAGAGAAAAGGGCTGTACACAAACATCTGGTGCTGATGACTGGCAGCCGCTAAAGTATTTGGGCAGGGGGTGGGGAATACTGGTATCTTCGACTTGCTTCAAGGTACAAGAAGAAAGATGGATTGATGGCCACATAGGGGCGTAGGTGGATGGCTCGAGATATTTTCTAGGGGGTGGATATCTGCAGTGGGTGTTGGCTGTAAGATTCTTTCAACTCTCTGGTAGGCTTAAATTTTTTCATTATAAAGGTTGGAAAAATATTTAAGCTGCAGCAGAGGGAGCACCAGTTCTTTTTCTTTTTTGAGACGGTCTCTGTTGCCCTAGGTAGAGTGCTATGGCATCATAGCTCACAGCAACCTCAAACTCCTGGGTTCAAGCTGTCCTCCTGCCTCAGCCTCCCAAGTAGCTAGGACTATAGGTGCTCACCACAACACCTAGCTAGTTTTTCTATTTTTAGTAGAGAATGGTGGTCTCGGTCTTGCTCGGTCTGGTCCAGAACTCCTGAGCTTAGACAATCAAACCGCCTCAGGCTCTCAGAGTGTTGGGATTACAGGCATGAGCCACTGCACCCAACTGAACACCGTTTCCTGAGCACTCTCCATGTGCCAGGCACTGAGCCAAGTGCATCTCACACTTTCCTCAGTTCCAGCACAGCCCAAAATGCCTGCAAAGTGTGTGGGAACATCCCCATTTCACAAATGGGAAAGCAGAGGTTGCCGGCTTGCCTGGTGCCACATAGCAGGTGAGCCACAGAGTCAGAATCTGCCTGTTCCACAAGGGTCCTAACTGCCACACCTTCCTGCCTCTCCACATGCAATCCCGAAGGTTTTAGGAGAGTGGTTTAAACTCTGAGTTTTTGGCATCTCATTGTCCTGCTGGGGCAAGATGGTACTGGAATTCCAGACTCCCAGCCTTAGAAAGGGCGTCAGAATCCTGCTCTGCAACTCTGATGGCAGGATAGGGGAGGGGCTGGTGGCATGGCCATTGGAGGACCCCAGGCTGTGGGCAGCACTGGCCTTCATGGACAGAGGCCACATGGAGGAGGTGCTTGGAGGGGGCCCTGGGGTGTGGGCTGTGGTTGTGCTTCAGCTCAGGGTCTTGTCCACAGGTCTCCCTGGTCTTCCTGGTCAGTGGCCTGGTCATCCTGGGCTACGCTGCCTCCATCAGCGGTCAGGCCACCTACCAGAGTGTGGTCAGGGGGCTGTGCGGCCCTGCCCTGGGGAAGCTGTGTGAGGCCTGCTTCCTCACCAACTTGTTCATGATCTCTGTGGCTTTCCTCAGGGTGATTGGGGACCAGCTGGAGAAGTGTAAGTACCTTTGTGGGGGATGGGGTGACCCAGGGTGTGGCGCTCTTGGCGACCCATGGGTTGAGCAGAATGTGAGGCATTGGCCTGAGCCCTGAGGGGACCGCAGAGGCTGAGACCTCATCTGCGCTCCTAACTTGGTGGGGGAGGGAGGCTCAGAATTGACAGTCACAGCAGCATGATGAGGTTTAAGAAAAGAGAGCGATATGGTTACCCTGGGATGTCCAGTGGAGACAGCCCTTTTCACAGATAAGGGCAAAAGCCAACAGCAGGCAGCCCCTCTGGAGAGATGAGCAGGAACACCTTGACTTTGGGATGGCTGAGACTCCCACCCAGACATGACCATGTCCTCTAGTCCCCACTAAGATTTGCCCTGTGGTCACCACTTTAGTGGCATCTTACTCATTCTGATGTGCTCTATTTCCATTTTTATTCCATTTAAAATATTTGCTTATTTTTGCTTGGTTTCTTCTTTTGACTCGTGGGATTTTTTTTTTTTTTTGACAGTCTCACTTGTCACCTTCAGTAGAGTGCCATGGCATCATAGCTCACAGCAACCTCCAACTCTTGGGCTCAAGTGATTCTCTTGCCTCAGCTAAGTGCCTGCCACACATCTGGCTATTTTTAGGGATGGGGGGGGTCTCACCCTGGCTTAAGCTGGTCTCGAACCTGTGAGCTCAGGCAATCCACCCACTTCAGCCACCCAGAGTGCTAGGATTACAGGCGTGAGCCACTGCACCCGGCCTCAACTCCTGCAATGTGTGGAATCGTGTTGTATAATTTCCAATTATTTGGGAGTTTTCTAGATTCCTACTTGGTTTCTACCTGAATTGTATTGTGGTCCAAGAACATAGTTTGTGTAACTTCAGTCTTTTGGAATCTGTTGAGATTTGCTCTGTGGTCCAGGACCTGGGTAATCTTGGAGAGCGTCCCATGTGTTCTTAAAGGATGTCCCTCCACAGTTGCTGGGGACAATGTGCAGAAAATGTCCCTTAGGTTGAGATGTCTTAACTGCTATGTTCAGATCTTCTGCAGCAACCTTACTGCCTTATTTTTTGTCTAGTGGTTAGTCTACCCAGTTCTAAGAGAACAGTGCTGAAAATGTCAGCTGTGATTCTGGGCTTGCCTATTTCTGCCTATAATTCTGATATTTGCTTCATGGTTTTAGAAGCTCCATGATTGGGTGTGTCATTTCATCATTCTGAAATTTTCCTCTTCATCTCTGGTATTAAATCTGTCTTCTCTGCCATTAATATAAAAATAAAGTTTTTGTGTAGTTATCTGCTCGTTCTTTTACTTTGACCCTAACTGTGGCTTAGGATTTTGAGATGTATTTCTTGTAGACAGCATACGGTGGGGTCCTGCTTTATTATCCATCTTGACAATCTTAGACTTCTAACTGGAATGTTTAGACTTTTAATTGGAAATTAATTATTGATAGGGGTGAATTTAGGTCTGCCATTTTGCTATTTGTTCTGCCTCCTGGCCTATGAGTGAAAAGTCCCTCGCTATGGGATGTTGAGATTAAAAGCTATCATGTTTTTAACTGGGCATTGTGGCAGGTGCCTGTGGGATCATAGCTCACAGCAACCTCAAACTCCTGGGTTCAAGCTACTTGGGAGGCTGAGGCAAGAGAATCACTTGAGCCCAAGAGTTTGAGGTTGCTGTGAGCTGTGACACCATGGCACTCTACCGAGGGCGACGTAACAAAACTCTGTCTCAAAAAAAAAAAAACAAAGAAAGAAGGTACCATGCCTTGGGTAACACTGTCATAAAGTGCCAAGATTGGTGTACCTGAACCTTCTGGTGGGTAAATGGACACAAAAACTTCCTGCCTGCCAGTGGCAAGTTCATCCCAAGTTTTGGCTCCAGTAAACTTGTGTTGCTGTGTTGAGATGGATTCTGAAGTTCAGGAGTAGAGTACTCTGACTAATCAGGATACAAGCCACCCCAGCTCGGAGCAGATTCACTGGGGTGGAGAGAGCACTGTGTGTGTGTTTCTGATTAGCAGTTTGGAGATGTATCCATCTGTAGGGAAGCCCAAGTTTCTGGGAGAGTGGTGCTAAATCGTGGTTAGGGTGTCTGGGGAGTTCAATGCATGAGTTGGGTACAAATGCCCACATGCCATTGGTACTGAGGACCTCAGGGAATGTCCTAGGAACTCCAGGTTTGGCAGGAACTGGTGTAGTGCTGATGTCAGAGCTGGGATTTCCTGGTGGCAGGTGACCCAGGAGGGTGAGAAGAGCTTATGTTCAGACCCACACCAGGTGTGGATTCTGTGGGTGCCAGCATTCTCTTGGCATCTTTGGTCTAGAATCTGCTCTGCCCTCACTCACAGATGCCTCTGTATGCGGCCTGGCAGTGGAACTATCCTCTTGTGTCATTTCAGTAGGAATGAGCTATTCTCATGAGACATTATTTCTTTGCATGGCTAGCTTTTTGAGTATTTGATGAGAACAAAAAAGAGTTTACGTGGCAATGACACAAACACCCCCAGTGGGCTGTGAACCATCTCTCACCTCTCAGCCTCTCTCCACAGGATGGCAGGGGCCACCTGCCTACGTGGCTCCCCTTGGCTGCAGCCTCAAGCCCCATCTGCCTTTGTTCTCCCCTCCCCCAGCTGTCTTGCCTCTCAGATCAGCTCCAAACTATCCATCTTATTGTGGCAGAATAGAAATGATCCCAGATTCTTCAGTGCTCCTTCCACCCAGAGGCTGGCGGGATCTATGCCCCCTGCCTTTGTATAATTTTATATTTATTTATTTATTTTTGCACTTTTGGCTGGGGCCAGGTTTGAACCCGCCACCCCCAGTATGTGGGACTATTGCCCTACTCCTTGAGCCACAGGTGCTGCCCCTGCCCCCTGCCTTTGAATCCAGTGGAGCCTGGAATGGCTTTGCCCAGCAGCATGCAGGGTGGGAGGCCACATCATTCCCAGCCCTGGCCTTTGAGAGGGATGGGCAGCTTCTGCCTTGGTCTCTGGGATGCTCCAGCTGCCAAGGAGGAAGTTGAAGCAGCCTGCTGGGGGGCAATGTGGAGAGACACCCCCATCCCAGACGGCAGGGAGGCCCATGTGTCCCCACCAGGTACCAGGAGTGGAGTAGAGTCATCGAGGGCCCCCAAGCCAGCCCCACCACTAGCAGGTAACCCCAGCTCATCCCATGGGTGAGCTTGGGGGAGTTCAGTGAGCAGTGACGGCAGAGCCCTGGGGTGCAGAGGCAGAGCGGCTTGCTCTCCCCAGCATCGCACAGCCAGAAAGCTCCAGGCCCCGGATTGGCCCCAGACACACCTCGAGTTCCTGATCCAGATGAAAAAGGTCTTTTCCCAGAATGCCTCCAGAGCACATGGTTTATCCGTCTGTTTGTGGCCCTTAAGAAAGAGCTTGGGAACCTTTGCATGGCGGGCTCCTTTCTTCCTGGGGCCACGGGGACCTTCCCCATCTCACTTGTCATGTTGTCCCTGGGCTGAGGGGGCTGAGTTTTGACAACATCCAGCCCCACCTGGGGGTCGGGAGCCCTGACCTGTGCCCTGAGGCTCAGCCCCTCCATGTCCCCACCAGTGTGTGACTCTCTCCTGCCCGGCGCCCCGCCAGCCCCGCGGCCCTGGTTTGCCGACCAGCGTTTCACTCTGACCCTGCTCTGTGCTCTGCTCATTCTACCCCTGTCGGCCCCACGGGAGATCGCCTTCCAGAAACACACAAGGTACAGCCGGGAATAGAGGGGCTGTGGGGTCAGCCTTCCCATTTGGGGAAGGGGAAATCCATGAAAAATTACACAGGGCGTCCATTGTCCATGATGGAAAAGACAGACCAGCAGAAAGAGAACATTCCCTGTCACAGCCCTGCGAGCTGCTCACGCCTGTTTCTCTGTTGTAAGACTTTATATTAAAATGCTGGTGTGTGCAGAGACTTGGAGACATGCACATGTGTGTTTTAAATCTTGTGATTTGAGGCTTTCTGTGCTTTTTGAAAAAATAAACGCCATCAGCAATGCCCATCCACGGCCCTCACCAGCCTCCCCTCCTGTGCAAGCAGCAGATCTCCCACCTCAAAGACAGGGCATGGGGCAGCGGACAGCAGACCCCAGCCTGCCCCTCTGCGGCCCTGAGACTCTGGTGCCCTATGCAGCTGAGCCTGGGGTTCCCTTCCCCTCTTTGGTGTGGGCAAGCCCAATGGTGTCCTGATTTTGCCAAACCCTTGTGGCTGACTGGCTTTTGTTAGTGAAAAAAAGGTTACAGCTGCCACTCCCAAAGGTGCTGGGTGCTGTTAGTAGTTGGGCATGTCTGCCCCAGGGACCTGGGAGCAGAATGAAGCTCCCGTGGGGAACTCTGCCGATACCAGCCGGCAAGGGCCGAGCTGTGGTTCAGACCCACCGTGTCTGTGTGCTGTCAGCACATGGTGCCCCTCTCCGAGACCCTCATGCTGTCCCTATCTGTGTCTTAGCATCCTGGGCACCCTGGCTGCCTGCTACCTGGCCCTAGTGGTGACCGTGCAGTACTACGTCCAGCCCCAGGGCCTCATCCATGAGCCCCACCTGTCAGTGAGGTGAGTCTGAGGGCTTTTGGTGGTTTCCCAGGCAGGGGTGGAGCCCAGCGGGGAGCAGAGGAGCCTTGGAGGAGTCCCTGTACTTTGCTGCAGAGCCCTGGCTCCCTCCCTGAAGTCTGTCCTTTCTCTGAGGCAGTGAAGCCTGGGAATGGGACTTTCCTTCTGCAGGACAGTGGGGCAGACGCTGCTGATGACCAGGTACTGGTCAAGGGACACAGAATCACTGAAGGCCATGCCAGCCCAGGGCTCCCAGGCTGTGGCAGACATGGGTCCCCACAGCAAGGAGGCCAGCATGGCCAGCAGAGACGGATTTGGGTGTGTCGTGGGGGGCTTAGAGTCATTGTGAGGACTTTGGCCTTGCTTTGGGTGGATGGGCTGGGAGAGGCTGCAGTGTTCTGAGCTCAGCAGGGAGGTGACAGGACTTGGTTCTGAAAACAATCACTCTGACTGTTTTGTGCCTGGGACAGAAGCAGGAACACCAGGTAGGGAGTCCCTGTATGGAGCCCAGGCCTTGGACCAGGTGGTTTTGAAGGAGGGATGAGGGAGGGGGCAGATTCCAGCCCAGGGGGCAGATTCTTGTGCTTGGAATCAGGCTTATTGCTGGCTGATGGGCGTGGGATCCCTGTAACCGCCCGAGGCCCCATGCTCAGGTGGACATTCCTCTGTCACTGCCTTGAAATCCTTAATCGTTGTCCAGCAAGGGGCCCAGCATGTCCATCTTGCACAGGACCCTGTGAATTCTGTGGCCTGGGCTACCAGTGAGCTGGAAGCAGAGATTGAGTCAAGGGAGCCTGGAGCTGTTGGCTTGGGCAGAATCGTCATGTCCTGGGATAGGGAGGACTGAGGGGGCAGGTGCCAGGAACCAGGTCGGGCAGGGGCAAAGCAGGGTGGAGACAGCATGGGGACACCTCGGGGAGATGTTGAGCAGCTAGTCAGATCCAGTGTCTGGGGTGCGTGACACTGGTCAGAGAAGGCGTTGAAGGCCATGAGCGCTGTGTTCAGCTCCCGGCCCAGAGTACCCCAGTGCTGGGGGGTCAGGGAGGTGAGGAGGAGATGGTAACCGCAGAGGAGTGGTAAGTTAGGAGGATGCCTGAGTGTCCAGGTATTGCTGGTGGCTCAAAACATCAGACATTTCTCTCTCAGTTCTGGAGGCTAGAAGTCTGAAATTCAGGGTCAGCAGGGCTGAAAAGGCTCCGGGGTCCTTTCTGCCTCTGCCAGCTTCTGGCAGCTGTCTGTGTGTTCCCTGGTGTGTAGATACATCTCTTACAAGGGCACCAGTCACTGGATTCCAGCCCACCCTGGTCCAGGATGACCTCATCTTAAGTAGTTATATCTGCAAAACTTGTCAAGGGAGGCTAGGGACCAGGTGGGCTCCCTAAAAGAGCTGACCTGGGTTTCTACCTGTGCACACCTCAACCATCCTTGAGCTTGTTGGGACCTGTTGGGTGGACACTGCCTGTGCCCCTACTAGCACCAAACCACCCTGAACAGGCAGCCTCGAGGGAAGCTGGGAATACCTTCTAGTGGTTACCCTGCCCACGTGGAGAATGTCACGTTACCAAATGTCACCAGAGACGTATTTGGAAAGCACAGCATTTAACAAGCATCCTTTTTCCCTTCCCCCAAACACAGTCATTAAAAATATATCTCGCAGCCTTCCTGGGATACGTGTTCCTGGTGTTATTTAAAATCCATTCCCTCCTGCTGAATGTCATTTTGTGTCTAATTCTTCTTTAATAAACACCTGCTCCTGTCTATTTTACAGTCCTTCCTCCTGGACCTCTGTCTTTAGTGTCTTCCCCACCATCTGCTTCGGATTCCAGGTAATTGTAGCATCTGCGTTGAAGAGTATGGCGTTTTCAGAGACCGTGAGTGACTCTCTGTTCCCTTGGGAGAGCTCAGCTTCCCCGACAGGGAGAAGCTTGAGGACTTGTTCTGGGATGAGATGGGCTCTCTGCCTCCCTCCCACCTGTGGCCCGAGGGCTGTCTTCTGGAGACCACAAGAGTGGGTTGGTACCCAGGCTCAGGGAAGCGGAGGCATGAATTGTCACTGAACTTAGAAATCCAGCCCCCACCAACAGCCAATTAGCACCACATTTGTTGGGGCTTGAGTAGAGTGTGGGAATCTGGGCGCTGTCCCCTCCTCTGCAGAATCCTCACAGGAATGTCACCCTGCCTGGGAACCAGGAGCTGTGCGCTGTCCCTGCAGAATGTACTGACACAGGTGGATTCTGTCCCACAGTTCTCAGGAGAGATCCTCTTTCATGAGGCTCACAGGCTTAGAGGAGCTGAGTGATGGGGGAAGGGGGCTGAATTTTTAATAGCGTGTCATGTGAGTGAGGATGGGGTTCTTTATGTGGAATCTCAGCAGAGGATTCCAAGTGGAATCTTGAAGGACATGTGGGAGGCAGCAAGGGGCCAGGTGCTGCTCCAAGTGGACAGTACAGCACAGGTGAGCCACCTGAGGGAAGAAGGTCCCGGGGCGTCTGTGAACCCACACAGGGCTCGGTGTGGCAGGTGCCACACAGCAGGGAGGGGAGGTGGCGAGCCTGACTTCAGCCCCCTGCCTCTTGGTAGTCTTGGGTCCCCCCTCATAGCAGGTGTCAGTGGACAGTGTTCCTTCCTTGCTTAGTTTAGGGAATATTTGCCTCTATCTCCTAAAAAACCATCGCCTACCCACCAGCACCAACACAACTGTCACAAAGTAAAATCACGTCCCCCGGAGACTTTGCTCCAGGGTTTATAGCAGTTTCCCTGTGGCCGGGATTGTTTTCTTCCCTTGCCCACCAACCAGCTCCTGCTCCTGTCCTTCATCTGCTGTTTTCTCTGAAACCCTTTTGAGAGGGAAAAAAAAATCCTGAACCGTTTCCATTTCTCTTCCTCATAAATGACTTGGTGTTCCACCTCTGGGGCTTAGCAAGGATTTCTCACATTGCTACTTGCACGCCCAATATTTTGAAAGATCTAAGGAGCTGATTTTGCTGTCAACTGTTTGTCTGGATTTAGTTTAACAATCCCTCTCTCTGCCCAAGCACCATATGGTGCGGCAGACTCACCAGGGCCGCTCTCCAGATGCCCAGGGGGCCGGGGGTGCCCCTCACCTTCGCCTCGCTGCCTCATCCGACTCTCCTAGCAACCAGCTATGGTTTCCAGGGACACGGGATGCCAAGGCCGAGATGAGCTGGGAAGGGCAGGGATTCACGGGTGTGGGCGGGGGCTCAGGCCAGAGGTGGTGTGACTGGCGGGGGCTGCAGCAGAGCCGTCACCTGGAACTCTGACATGACTCAGACACACTACCCGCCCCCAAACCCAAACACGTTTGGGGACAGGGTATCCCCCCACCCCAGCCCCAACACTGTGCAGAGTTGCTGGGAGGGTCCTTGGAGAAGCAGAGAAGGGTGGGGTTCAATCCTACCCAGTGTGGCCTCATGGGGACTTCTGGTCATGGGTTTTTTTTTTTTAAATTGAGATAGGATTCCGATCCCGTATGATTCACCCGTCCACAGTGTACAGGGCAGTGGTTTATAGTATATTTAGGGTTGTGCAACTATCACCACCAGCAATTTCAGAGTCTTTCCATCAAGCACCCTTCCTGTTAGCGGTCCCTTCCCATTGTCCACTCCCCAGCCCAGCAGCCGCTAAGCAGCTCCCTGTCTCTGTGGACCCGCAATGGGCATTGCATGTAAGTGGAATCCTGTAACATGTGGTGTGTTTGGGAGGTTTGTCCGTGTCGCTGCCTGTCTCAGCCCTTCATTCCCTCATATGGCAGCATAATATTCCACTGAATGTCCATGCCACGTTCTCTGTATCCATTTGTCCTTCCAGGGACATTTGAATTGTTCCCACTTTGGGAACTAGAAAGCATGAACACCTCCCAGATGCTGTCCCAGTGGGGCCAGGAGTGAGCATGTGAGTGTGTTGGTGGGAGCCATGTCCCAGAGAAAGAGCCCAGAATCCAGGGTGTATCCGGACGTATCAGTGCCTCTCACCCCTGGCTCCTGTCCCCCTTGGCTGCTTATCAAACACCAGTTCTCAGGACCAGAGTGGTAAAATCCATGTCGCAGGTGTGCTCTTGGGAGTAGTTGTGTGTGTTTTACATTTACAAGTCTTATCCTACTATGGCCGTTCCATGTACAGTGCACAGATTGTGAGTCTGTGTTCCCGTGGACTGTGGTCAGCCCCCACTGTGGCCTGTTCATGTACAGCACACAGATTGTGAGTCTGTGTGTTCCCGTGGACTGTGGTCAGCCCCCACTGTGGCC